GGGAGTCTCCGTGAATCAAGAAGATGGAAGACGACGAAGAGGATGAAGAAGAGGAGGAAGAGGAGGAGGATGAAGAAGAAGGAGATCGAGGACACAGCTCGAGAAAGGCCAAAGTATGGACTTGTGTTGCTGTGTTCATGTAGAAGAGTGGAAGCTTATGCAAATTTGTCCAGAGGCGAAGACGAGACGCCGCCGCAAACCCTTTTATTGATCTACAAGCTATCGTAGATGACGATGATGACGACGACGACGAAGAAGATGAGGCCGAAGCTGGTAAGCCATTCTCATTCGAATTGATATAACACGTTTTGGTCGTTCCGCTAAGTGAGCTAGACTAAGAATGATTGCCTGTAGGATTTTTGCAGTATCAGCAGCATGAAGATGAGGAGGAGGACGCGGATGAACCAGGAGCGACAGCCCATGCTCGATTTGATCGCCAACGGCTACACGAAGAGGAGCTCTCGGGAGAAGAACTGGCCAGAAGACTTCGAGAACGATATGCCCAAAGAGATCAAATTGTGGAAGAGCTAGCCTCTGTTCCACAAAGAATGCTCATGCCCAGTGTCAACGACCCCAATCTGTGGCAAGTCAAAGTTAAGGTATGATTACTATTCTAGAGCTATGTATGATGCATGTCGCTGAGTACAAAGTATAGCCTGGTAGGGAACGGGATATTGTTCTCAACCTTTTCCGTAAAACCATGGATTTTGAAGCGAAAGGCAAACCCCTTCAGATCATCTCCGTCTTTGAACGCGAGTCCATTCAAGGCTACATTTACGTCGAATCCCGGAGCAAGGAGGCCGTCATCACGGCGTGCGCCAACCTCATTGGTGTTTACCGGCGCGACCCTATACTTATCCCTATCAATGAAATGGCACCACTCTTACAACTCAAGAAGAAGGAGTTCACGATTGCTCCTGGTGCCTGGGTACGGCTAAAGCGTGGCAAACATCAAGGTGATTTGGCTCAAGTCATGGATGTAACCGACACCGGTGAGGAAGTGGGAATCCGATTCCTGCCAAGAATCGACATGAACCCCAAAGAAACCGAGCTTGGAGATGGCAAAACGAAGCGAAAACGAGCTGCGACTGCCGTCGGTCGTCCTCCTGCTCGACATTTCAACCCTGAAGAAATCATAAGGGTCCATGGCAAGAAGATGGTCGTCCGGAAAGGACCTAGTTGGATCTACCAAGGCGATACGTATACCGATGGCTTTGTAGAGAAGGATATCAGAGTTTCTGCCTTGGTCACCGAGAATGTCAATCCCACCCTTGACGAGCTAGCTATTTTCCTTGGACAAGGCAAAGATGGCAATCAAGGAAGCGCAGCAAACTTGGAAGCTCTCGCTGAAGCAGTTCGTAGACCGGCAACGGTTGCATTGCAGCCTGGAGACCACGTTGAGGTCTATCAAGGAGAGCAGAATGGCGTCCAGGGTGTCGTGGACTCTGTAATCGGCGATGTCATTCTCATCCGAGGTGCCGGAATCGAGTTGGAAGGCCAGATGATTGAGGTTCCGTCCAAATATGTGCGCAAGCGCTTCACGCCTGGTGAACACGTCAAGGTCATGAGTGGACAAAACACGGACGAGACTGGTATGGTCGTGTCCGTCAAAGGAGACCTCGTTACGTTCATTTCGGACCTGACAGAGACGGAGGTGAGTTTCTTATTGTATGAATGGAAGCTAAATATTGACCTATATTTCTCTACAGATCACGGTCTTCTCCAAGGATTTGCGAACAGCTGCCGAGGTCGGCTCCAGTTCGAATGTGGTCGGCAACTATGAGTTACATGATCTAGTCCAACTAGAGTATGTCTTTCCTCCTTTATTCATTATCTTGATTCCTAATGCTGGTTCAGTATGCAGACTGCTGGTGTGATCTATCGTACCGAACGAGACTCGTTCCGCGTCCTCGACCAGAATGGTCAAACAAGACTCGTCAAGCCTCACCAAATTACCATGCGTCGTGACTCGAGAAGGGTCGTCTCAACAGATGCAGAAGGAAATGAGTTGAGAGTGGGTGATAATGTCAAAGAGATTGATGGCGAAGTAGGTCAAATATCTCATCATTAATCTCTCCCATTTTGACCTTTGCATTTTCGGATAGGGTCGGAAGGGTGTTGTCATGCATATCCATCAAGCCATCTATGCATTCCTTCACAATCGAGAGATCGTGCAAGATGGAGGCATATTTGTTACACGATGTCGATCATTGGCCCCAATTGCGCCGAAGGGTACTCCAAAACCTGGTGGCATGGACTTGACCAAGATGAATCCCGCCGTTGCGGGTGGTATGGGTGGCGCCCCTTCCATGAGCAGAGGCCCTCGAGACAAGCTCATTGGAACAATCATCAGAATCATCAAAGGTACCCAGAAGGGTTATCAAGGTGTTATCAAGGATGTCAACGGTCCGCAGTGCCGAGTGGAACTTAGCACGAATAACAGGATTATTACTATCGAGAAGGACAAGCTGAGGAGAGTCGGGTAAGTTGTTCTATAATTTACTTTAACGACACAGACTCTAATATCCTGTTCAGTGCGAACGGACAACTTGAGCCTCTTGAAGGACCTGGTGGATTCGTTCATCCAGGTCAGGCGAGGGGCGTGTCTGGAACTCCTGGAGGATGGGGCTCCACAGGTGGTCGTACTCCAAATCCGTACAATTCAGACGGAGGTCGAACACCAGGATGGGGTGCATCTGGACGAACTCCAAATCCCTATGCTAGTAATCGGACACCTGCTTGGAGTGCTGGGACTAACACCCCGAACCCCTACCTCGATGGTGGTAAAACACCCGCCTGGAACGTATCCTCGCGAACCCCTAATCCTTACAACTCTGGAGGCGACGGCGGCAAAACACCAGCTTGGGCA